TTTTAAATAACAACCAAGTGAGATATAACCCACAATATAAACTTTTAAAATATTTACATCTATCCAAAATTTTGGATAAAATCATACAAAATCGTTCCATTTGCTTTAACTCATCGAAATCACTTTCGGCTCCTTAGGCCTAAACATAAGGAAATCATTCTTACCTTTCACTGGGAGTACTATACCATCACCGACACAAGAGGTTAACTAGGTTATGTACCTAGCGGCAAGTATCATATACCCTACTTGCTCAGGTCGTCTCATCGTAGTGCCGTACGAATCGACTCAGCCATGCTAATAATAGCACAAAATAGTACTCTCTCGAGGGAGAACACTCTGCCGTAGTCTATACCACAAAGTGGCCATCTACGCCTACATCGATACGTGTAGTTTCATGACAACGAACACGATATATCCGAAGTCAATCTCGGTGAACACAAGTAACTCCCAAAATATTTGATACTTCAAAATAGATTCATAGCATAATAGCCTCAAATGATCTATTTTTATTAAATCATAGCATTTATAGAAAATGTAAATCCTTTGAACAAAATTTAAATAAATAACCTTTTACATGCTAAAGCCTTTAGAAATTTAACATCAATCTTTAAAAGATACCACAAATGCTATTATGTTCGTCAATTTCCAAAAGAATACTTTCCATGAAAATTTATCTTTAGCACTCAAATATGTATACTCTTGTCACTACGTAATTTTTGATAAAAACTTATAACATTTACCTTAAGTGTCACTTTGCTAACAAGATTTAAAATAAAATTTTATAAAACGGCGTGACACTACATATGCAATATAATATTCTAGTACACGGAGACATTCGTACTTTTTTGTCCCTACAAGCACGAAAGCACATTTGCAAACAACTTAAGTATTAACTCGAAACATGCTTTTAGAGAAAGTCCCTCAAGAAGAGTAAGTTTTAATCAACTTACCTCGCTTTCGCTTTATTAACATTCACAAGCTTTCAATCCTCCTCCATCATTCCAATGTTTATTAAAATGCTCAACATCACCAACAAGTCGATATCTACAATTAGATATCCTAATTACATCAAAATATGACCTAAGATATTGATCAACATCCATATATGGCTCACAAGTTGGCTACAAGCCTCCAACAACTCAAATCGCCAAATAGTTTTACATGCTAGACCATTCAACTTTATTCTTGTGTTTTAATACCCATTCGGAGTCATTAATGATACTACATCAATTGTCCATTGCCACCAAGTTACTATTAATCGTCTTCCATTGTACCGACCCGGCCAGTCGTTCCGAGAGTTATAGCCCAGTTTTCCCATTCCTGCTTCTTTATGTATTGTTCAGCGGTGTTGAGTTGTATCGAGTTGGTAGGTTTGGGTCCGGAGTAGTTTTGGAGTGAAATGAACAGTTAGTCTCTTAGTTAGAAAGTTAAGTTAGAAAAGTTAACCAGAAGTTGACTTATGAGTAAACGAATTTGGATGTGGATTTTTATGATTCGATTAGCTTCGTTAGGTGATTTTAGACTTAGGAGTGTGTCCGGAATGTAATTTGGAGGTCCGTGGTAGAATTAGGCTTGAATTGATGAAAGTTGGAAGCTTAGAAGTTCTTAGGCTTGAATCCGAGGTTGATTTGGTGTTTTGGTGTTGTTTTGGGTGTTCCGAAGGTTCGACTAAGTTTGGGTAGTGATATATGACTTGTTGAAATTATTGGTTGAGGTCCCGAGGGCCTCGGGTGAGTTTTGGATAGGTTTGGGTTGTGTTGCGCTCGTTTTTCTTATGTTTCGACGCCGTTTTTTCAAGCATAAATGATATCATATTGAACAAATGAGCTCCGATTTCTTTTTTGATTGAAGCATTAGATCTGTATCATAATTACGGACCCGTAGCAAAAAGAATCGTCGAATTTGGACATCGTATGAGGATTTTATGGTCATTTTACTAAGAATTAGGTTGCCAGATTTTTCAGATTAATTACGAAATTGCCACTGAAGGTGTATTTAAAAATCTGCACGATTTGCAAATATTAAAACCTACATATCTCCTTCATTATAAGGTCAAATTGAGTGATTCAAAAGCCTAACTTGACTAAAATTTTACAAGGAATCCATTGGAGACATAAAAAGCGAGATTCTGGATCATTTGGCATGAGAAACGAGGTAGAATAGCTGGCAGAAAAATATATAAAACGAGGATTTGTTCATTCGGTCATATTTTGAGTTGGGGAGATCGGATTTGGGCGATTTTGGGGGAGATTTTCACCATAAGGATTGGGGTAAGTGTTCTCTACTCAGTTTTGGTTAGATTTCATGAATTCATCTTCGTTTTTGGGATTTGATTGATGATTTCAAAGTAAAATTGAGGGAGATAAGGTTTGAGTTATGGAGAGTTTAAGTGAGGATTTGAGAGACTAAACAGAGTCTGATTTTGATAAATTTTATATGGTTAGACTCGGGAGAGGACGATATTTATTATTTTGTCATTTTTGACTGATTTCGAGACGTGGGTCCGGGGGCCGGGTTTTGGCCGGTTTCGAATTTTTGGCATATTTTGTAGTTTTTATTGTGGAATTCGATTCGTTAGCCTATCTTGATGGTATTAATCTGATTATGGTTAGATTTGGAGATTTTGGAGACCGAGTCGAGAGACGAGGGCATCCCGAAGTAGGATTTTACGCTGTTAAGATAAATAACAGTTTTAACTCTGGCTTTGAGGGTATAAACCCGGAGAATTTGATATTGTGTGACTGTTTAGAGGTGATACCCACGCTAGGTGACAGGCGTGTAGGTGTATACCTCAAGGGATTGAGACTTGGTCCGTCTTGTGAGGCCTCATGGCCATCATCTGTGTTTACGTAGTTACTTGTTGTTGAACTTGTTTGCCCTCATGTTAGAGATCATGCTTAGGCTTTATTCATGCTCACATTATTTGTACTCAGTCATAGAAATTATTGTACATGTTTACCTCAGTCTCTATTATTTGTTAATATATTGTGATACTTGATGTGGGCTGTGTTCCCTTATTTGTTGATGATGGTGAGGCTAGTGAGGTACATGATTGAGTGAGGCCGAGGGCCTGGTTGTGAGGATATTAATACCATAGCGCATGAGTTGTCCGCGTAGCATTTGAGTTGACCGTGTGGGTCCAGGTATTGATACTATAGCGCGTGAGTTGTTCGCGTAGCACGTGAGTTGACCGTGCAGATCCAGGTATTGATATGATGGCACGTGAGTTGTCCGTGCTTAGCGCTTGAGCTTTGGGAGCCCCTCCGGAGTCTGCACACACCCCTAGTGAGCGTAGAGTGTTGAGTGTTTTGACTATTGAGTGCTGAGTGCGAGTGATGAGTGATGGAGTGACACTGATGTGAGGTTGTATTTATTTGTGTTGTTGCTGCATTTATCTGTTAAACTTCTTTGATGTATTTACTGAGTTATGGAATTTACCTGTTTATTTCTGTTTATTTTTAAATTGTGAAAATAAATAATTGGACTGTTTTACTTAGCTCGTCACTACTGCTCAGTTCCTTAGTTATTTCTGTTACTACTTAGTCGGTTGTACTGATACTATACCCTGCACTTTATGTGCAGATCCAGGTGAGTTAGAGCGCGACGATCGTTGAGTTCAGGCCGGCTATCTGTGGAGATTGCAAGGTAGCTGCTAGCGTCCGCAGGACCTTGTTACTCCTTTTGTCATTTCTTCTTTCGGACAGTTAGACAGTTTATATATCTTAGTTTATAGTTTTAGACGCTCATGACTTAGTGACACCCCGATGTTTGGGGCTCGTTTCCGTATTTTTCTATATTATATTTAGAGTTGATTTAGTTTATGAAAAATTTAAATGTTGAAATGTTTTATTAAATTCTTATAATCGGTTTAGTAGTAATATTTTGGGAAGTAGGCTTGCCTTGTAACACGATAGGTGCCATCACGAGCATGGTTAGATTTTGGATCGTGGCATCCATAATCAACACTTGCAAGATATACAATTCGGGTGATTACTTAGTTGATCACTTCCATCTTTTGCTAACAATTATTTCCATAGGTTCATTGTATTCATAAATTTCATCGTCAAGATTACCATTCATCTTCTCTCTTATTTTCTCAAAAATACTATTCATGCCATGAACTAGAGTTTTATAATCCAATCCTTCAACCATTAAAACTTGTAAGAAATGCCTCAAATACTTCTAACTACTCATAATAAACGAGTTTGAAGCATTGGAATTACCTCTAGCAGATAAATCTTGAAAAATCACAATTTTGGTGATTTTTGTGTTCTTGAGGATTTGATGAAGAAATCTAGTATTTGGATGTAAGAATGATGTTAGAACTCATGTATATTAAGTAATAATCAACCCAAAACATCATTAACAACTTACCTTGGTTGATTGGACTTGATTTGAGCTCAAAATCGCCCATTCACTTCAAGAACCCTAACCCCTAAATACACAAAATACTCCCCTCCCCTGGCCTTATATTTATAGGCCCAGATTTCTGGGTTTCAGATACGGACCTGGATGCTTCACATCCCCACTTCACTCCCCTCTTTGAAGCTCGGATGCAGACCTGAACACTATGGCAGCAATTCACTGCCAGCCTCTCTTTCGGACGCGGCCTCTCCGCAGGCTCCTCCGCCAGCCTTTGGTAATTTGGTCATAACTTTTTGTAGGAATGTCCAAATGACAAACGGTTTGAAACGTTAGAAATTAGACTCAATGATCTTTCATTTGATAGGTTTTACATCACATAACTCCTTATATATATATGTGGATATACTCGTCCAAAGTTTGATCTTGTGCGTACTCATTTGGAACTTTAGTCCATCATATAATTTCCAATTTGACTTAGACTTAGGGCTCTCCTTAGACCCCACATCACTTATAATATGACTCGTACACTTATTATCATATCCAATTGATATCCATCAAATTAATAGACCTCGTCTGCACACAAAATAATATAATTAGCGCACATCAACTTTATTAATAGCGCTTAAGTACTTCGAAATTTTTCGGGGTGCTACAAAGCGAGTCCAAACTCGTGTGACATGAAACAGTAAGCTTGTCAGCAATTTACAAAAAAATCACCAGTTACACTATAAAAGCGATATGATGGACCGTGTAACCCCACAAAAACTAGCAAAGAACCATCTTTTAAGAATAGTTAAATGTTCCTCCTAGGAACCTAAAAATGGCTTCTTGCCAAACTAACTATATGCTAATATTAATCAGGACATTTTTCAGAAGGAAATCTTTACCATGGAGCAGCTGCCAGTGCCTTGAATTTGAGCTCAAAACTCGTGTCTTTTAATGTTAAAGCCTCAATTTCAGAGTCTAACTTCTGTATCACTTGTTTCACTTTCAAAACCTTTTCTTCAAGATTCCTCATTTCCTCTTTTGCTTCAGCTAGTTCAACTCTCTTTGACAGAAGAATGCTATCTGATTCACATGACATGTTAATAAGCTTACCAAGCCTTGCACGTAAAAATCCAACTTCCATGCCTAAACACTCGAACCCTTTCAATGTATTGTCCCAAGTCTCAAGAAAATCACGAGGGATCGAAATCTTGGAAGCTCTAATGGCATCAGCAATATTCACAGTCTCAGTGATCATTCCGGCAGCTAGCTTGCAATTTAGTCCACCAAGTAAATGCTCATGGAGAAATGACTTCTGAGTGCAGCAAAGATAGTAGTATTTGGTCCGAATGTGTGCTGGAATCTCAGCATCTATGATCAATCCATCCACAAGAATGTTGAAACCAGAGAAGTCCTTCACATCTTTGAATTCAAGTCTCGATTCTGAAAATCTAATGCTTAAAACTTCAGAGCCATTATCGCTATCACTCCCACATTGATCTGATGCAGGGCCTTGGTCTGAGTCGGGTATCAATATGGCTTCTTCTTGTTTGACATCTTGATGGACAGGAGGCTCCAAGTACTTTTGTTCTTTTGCTTCACAAATTTTCATGTCCTCACTTTGATCTATGTGAAATAACAAGCATATAGAAAGGTTTTCTAAATGGTCAAGTTCAAGTAGTACAGATTGATTTTGATAGAAAGTAAAACTAGTGTTTGTAACTATACCTGACTTGATTGGTCTAGCATGAAAATCCAGATTTAGAAGACTAATAGCACCATCAATTTCTGTCAAGTTGTTTTCTCTTATTATATATACCTAAAAATAGGGGAAACAACAGTTAGACCATTGCTTTACTGTCCCTTTGGGGACATAATAAAATTGGAACATACTAAAGAATATTAGCATTGTCACTACAGATAAAAAGGTAGTCCAATGCACCAACTCCTGCTATGGGCAGGGTGTGGAAAAAGACCGAACTACATTGTATCTATTGTACGCAATAGCATGGTCACTTTAGGATGACATGAACAAATCGAAAAATGATTCTTGCTTTACCTAGGACAAAATAACCATAATTTTAAGTACTTTAAAGGGTTACCTTAAATTTGCAGGGTTGGATCAACTGGAAGACTAAGAAATCCCCTTCAAGCAGGTTGTGAGCAATGGAAAAACCTCTCCAACCCCCACTTAATCCGTTCTTATCAATAAGGTACTTGGTAGCAAATTCTTCTTCATTTTCGTCCACCAAAACAACAGTATCATCATTCTTTGGCAAATAAGAGTCACAAAATTTTCTTGGGAAACTCTGTTGTACCAAAATATCAAAAGAAAGACTATATCACCAAGAAAAGTTTCAATTTGTTCTAATTCTATCAAGATAAAGAATTTGACTTACCAACCAAAATCCACGACTGACATGTGAATGGAGCATATACTTGACAAAACTAGGAAAGTGAGAGGGCAAATTTGCTTGAACTTCTTCGGCCCGCAGCATGGCTGATGAGTTTGCATCCACAGTGCTAGTTTTGTATGTCTTCTTTTCAGGACTAGTAAAATCAAGAATCAAAAGCATTATCAGAAAAATAGCAAGTCCAGGAAATCTAATATATAAACCATTATGCATTTTCTCCGCTGACCATATTCGAAGCTTCTTAGTGTCTCCATTTTTCACCTATTCAAGTATTTGTCAAGTACATTCATTAGTTTTTGAACTGATTATCACCTTAAAAGGATACTTTTCTTTTTATCAACACAAGGAGTAGAAAATGATTCTCACCTTGTTGGTTTTACTTGGACCCAAAGCCCTTTTCCTGAGGAGTTTTTCCTTGATTTCTAGTACCCTTTTCTGATTAAGCCGTTGAATGGGAGAAGAATATAACATGGGGCCATCATTATAAGCAAAAGATTATGCTGATATTCAGAAAGAAAGAAAAAAAGTTGAAACTTGAAAGGAATAAAATAAGAGAAGGAGAGAACCTTTGAGGAAGAAAGGAGAGGGCTTTTCTTGGAGGAATTCATAGCTGAGATTGCCATTTCTGTTAATAAGTGTCTGCTCCAACACTTAAGAAAATGTGGAGTATATTTTTTGTTTGTTTGTGATGAAGGAAAGTAGAGAAAGGAGACAGTGGTGAATGAAGAAAATAGGCCGTTTGGCTAAAATACTTGTCTTTTACTTTTTCTAGAAAAGAATTTGAAGTGGAGATGTGACATGGTTGTTTGGGACAATTAAGAGGCCAAATTGGAGCCAAATTTTGAATCACTTGGCAGAGTACTAGTTATGGAATGATTTGTTTCCTTTTCCCAATGCTATTTAAAAGAAATGCTATTTTCACCCTTTTATATTCCTGGCCAATACTTGTTTGGGGTAAATGGTATTCAAAAAAGTTTCAAACCTTTTCATTTTATGATTTGATATGCTAAGAAGGAGAATTGTTAATACTGCTATGAGAAAGTAACTTTTCTTGGACCTATTATTTTAGGGGTTGATATGGGAACTAAATTATTCTGGGATTATAATTCTGAGATTATAATTCTGAAGATATAGCTAGTTTTCTGGGATTAGTTTCTATAGCTATGTGACGAACTTGCTACGGGGAAACCATATTAGTAGCTTAGGGAGTGTTACAATTCTGAAGATACAATACTTATTATATTAGTTTTCTGAGAGCATTATCACTATAAAAAAAACACCTTTTACTACAACCAATGAGATGTGACATGAAAAAAGAAACGTATACGCTTGTAGGTCTCGTTCCACATATTAGTCAGACTCTATCTCAGACTAAACAGTAAGCTACTAAGCTTGTTAACAATTTACAAAAATTTTACTCCCCAATTACACTAGAAAAGGGATATGATGAACCGTGTAAATTCACAAAAACTTATAGAGACCCATCTTTAAAAACATGAGAGCTACTCGCCAAACTAACTAGTACTCCCTTTTCACCATGGAACAGCTGCCAATGCCTTGTACTTGATCTCAAAACTGGTGTCTTTAGTTGTTAACTCAATTTCAGAATCTAGATTCTTTATCACCTGTTTCACCTTCAAAAGCTTAGTTTCAAGATTCCTCATTTCCTCTTTGGCTTCAGCTAGTTCATTTCTCTTTGATTCAAGAATCTGTTGTGATTCACTTGATAGGCTAACAAGCTTATTAAGCCTAGCACGTAAAAATCCAACTTCCATGCCTAAACACTCGAACCCTTTCAACGTACTGTTCCAAGTTTCAAGATAATCACGAGAGGTCGAAATGTTGGAAGCTCTAATGGCATCAGCAATGTTCACAGTTTCTGTGATCATTCCAGCAGCTAGCTTGCAGTTCAGGCCACCAAGTAAATGGTCATGGAGAAATGACTTCTGAGTGCAGCAAAGCTCGTAGTACTTGGTCCGAATGTGTGCAGGGATCTCGGAGTCTATGATCAAACTATCTATAAGAATGTTAAAACCAGAAAAAACCTTCATATCTTTGAATTCAAGTCTTGATTCAGAAAATCTAATGCCTAAAACTTCAGAGCTATTGTCACTATTGTTTCCACATTGATCTGATGCAGGCCCTTGGTCCGAGTTTTTTAGCAGCATGGCTTCTACATTTTGGTCATCTTGATCGATATCTATAACAGAAGGCTCCAAGTATTTCTCCTCTTTTGCTTCACAAATTTTCATCTCTTCATCTTGATCTATTGAGAAAATATCAACAAATAGAAAGTTTGAGTGGTATATATTGATTGTGATAGATACTAAAACTATTGTTTGACTTTACCAGATATGATTGGTCTAGCACGAAAATCCAGTTTTAGAAGACTAATAGCACCATCAATTTCTTGTTTGTCATCTTGATGAGTATCTAGGACAGGAGGCTCCAAGTACTTCTGCTCTTTTGCTTCACAAATTTCTAAGTCCTCAATTTGATCCATGCGAAATAATATCAGCAAATAGAAAGTCCGGAAACCAAAGTGGTAAAGTTCAAGTAGTACATAACAAATGGATAGTGATAAAATTAAAACTGGTGCTTGTGACTATACCAGATTTGATTGGTTTAGCATGAAAATCCAGATTTAGAAGGCTAATAGCACCATCAAGTTCTGCCAAGGTACTTTCTCTTATTATATACACCTAAACAGGGGAAATAATAATTAGATCATCGCTTAAGACATTGAATTAGTACTCAACAAAAGTGATCTCGAGTCGAGGAATAAAAAGCAAGCTCTGTCAATCGGACCTCCTCAGAAGTACATAATTGCATACCATCCCTTTGGGGACATTAGATAAACATGGAAAGTACAGATAATATTAGCATCCACCCCTTTAGAATGACACGCACAATCCGAAATATGAGTCTTGCCACTGGAAAAAAAGTTACCACACTTCAGCACTTTAAAGGTGTTACCTTAAATTTGCATAGTTGGATCAATTGAAAGATCAAGACATCCCCGTGAACCAGGCTGTGGGCAATGGAGAAACCCCTCCAACCACCACTTAATCCAGTTTTATCAACAAGGTACTTGGTAGCATATTCTTGTTCATCCTCATCCACCAAAACAACAGTGTCGTCACGCTTTGGCAAATGGTAGTCACAAAATTTCTTTGGAAAACCCTGTTGTATCAAAGTATCACAAAGTAAAACTATAGCACCCAGTGATGAATCTAGACTAGAGCTAGTTGGGTCGACAGAACCTACTGCGTCTATCTCAGATTACATATATGCATGTGAAAAAGATATCAGCACATATATAAAGAGTAAAACTTTGGCTGACTCTAAATCTTGAATTCGTCACTAATAGTACCAACATAAGTTCCAATTTAGTTCTGATTCCATTTCCATTAATAAAATATTTGACTTACCAACCAAAATCCACCAGTGACATGTGAAGGGAGCATATACTTGACAAAACTAGGAAATTGAGAGGGCAAATTTGCTTGAACTTCTTCAGCCCGCAGCATAGCAGATGAGTTTGCATCAACAGTGCTAGGTTTGTTTACCTTCTTTTCAGGGCTAATAAAATCAAGAATCAAAAGCATTATTAGAAAGATAACAAAAACATGAAATTTATTAAAAATAAGTTTCGCATTTTTTTTCCAACTGACCGTATTTGGACCTTCTTATTATCTCCATTTTTCCCCTGCTCAAGAAATATTCAAGTACATTTCATTAGCTTAAAACTGATTTTCACTTTAAAAAGATGTTACATGTGAAGGAAAAACTAATATAAAAAGGTACTTTTTTTTTTATCAATACAGATGGTAGAAAATAATTCTCACCTTGTAGGTATTACAAGGACCCAAAGCCCTTTTCCTTAGCAACTTTTTCTTGATTTCTAGTGCCTTTTTCTGGTTAAGTCATAGAATGGGAGATTAAATAAATATGAGGGCACCATTTTAAGCAAAAGAACAGGCAGAAATATTCAGAAGAAAATATTTAAAACTTGAAATGATAAAAATAAGACAAGGAATGAACCTTTGAAGAAGAAAGAAGAGGGCTTTTTTTGGAGGAATACATAGCTGAGATCGCCATATTGTTTACAAGTGTTTGCTCAAACCTTCAGAAAAATGTGCCACGTTTTGTTTGTGATGGAGGAAACTAGAGAAAAAGGAGATAGTGGTGAAGAAATAGACCGTTTGGTTAAATCTTTTCGCCAGGCGTTTGTACATAAAAATTACTGTATAATTTTTGTATTTTGAGTTAAATTGAAAAATAATAATATTTCGAATTTGAAATTATGTTCGGATATGTATTTACTTGAAAAATTATTTAAAAAGTAATTTTTTTTGAAAAATTTATTTTTAAAACCTTTTAAAAACTTACAAAATTTATGAACAAACACATTTTACAAAATAAAAATTGAAAAAAAAGAAAAAAAATTACGGACAAACGAAGCCTTAATTTATCTAGAAAAGAAATTGAATAGTGGAGTGTGACATGGCTGTTTGGGAGAAGTGAGAATAGGCCTAATTGGAGCCAAAATTTGAATCGGTTGACAGAGTACTATAGCTGGTAAATACTAGGTATGGAATGATTTGTTTCCTTTTACCAATGTGTTTTTCACCATTTTGTATTCTTATTTCGTATAGCCAGTAAGTTAAGAAATTAATTTATTTTGAGAAATATTATTTTTTTTAAAGTATTTTTGACGAAAAATAATTTATGTTTGACTAATTAATTTAAAAATATTTCTAAGCAGCAATTAGTATTTGACCAAACTTTTAAAAAGTACTTCTAAGTATATTTTTCTCAAAAATACTTCTAAGTATATTTTTCTCAAAAATACTTCTCAAAAAATACTTATGGGAAAAAACTATTTTTTTTATGTTTCTCCTCAGAAGCACTTTTTTCTCTTAAAAGCTTGGTCAAACACTTAACTTCGGGAAAAAAATTATTTTTAAAAAAAAAAAAAAATATTTTTCAGCTTGGAGAAGGCTTATGACCCTTCACTTTTTTGATTTTACTAACTTAACATAGGGAATTTGTAATACCTTGAGTTATAATCACGAGACAACTATGTACATATACCCATTTTTTGCCGGAGATTTGGTTCATTATATTGAAGACTAGATATATGATGTAAAATTTAAAACGTGTTTAAATTAATAAAAATTATTTTACATAATACTCTTGACCTAGACAATACTCTTATAATTTTGAAGAATCATGAATGAATAACAGCTTACTCAATGAAGGATGTCACTATGAGCAATTATAACATTTTACTGGAATTGATCTACACTTATACCTTAAATTTAATAATTGTAAAAACAAAATCGTGTGATAGCATTACACCAAAGTAGGGTCGTGCATAATTTGATAAATATCGAATTACCGTATCAAAATCGAAAATTTTGGTATTCGATATGGTATTTGGTTTAAGTTTTTAAAAAAAACTGGTATTAGGTATGTTATTTGGTATTTTAAAATAAAATACCGAAATACCGATACCGTACCAAAATATATATTATATTACACAATACACATATTATTAGTTATAACATAAATATAAGAAATCTAAAATTTTACCTTCCTTTATTCTCTAAGTTCATCAATTAACTCTAATCAAGTAACAAGACATTTCTAATGATCAAATTTATTCTTTTATGTACAGTTTTCTCTCTCAGGGTTGGTTGCTGGTTTTGGACAAAACTTTTGTCAACAAATATTTTTAGTTTTGTACTTTCGAATACTTTAATTAAGAATATTACCGTCTATGACTCTATGCACTAGTTAGTATTCAAACTGAATAAACCGAAGTTACCGAACCGAATAAACCGAAACCGAAAGGAGAAAAATTGAACCATACCGACTTTAATTAGGTACGGTATTGGTATAGCATTTTAAGAAACCGAATATCGAAAATACCAAATCGAAATGTCTAAATATCGTACCGTACCGTATCGACTGACCTTTCACCAAAATGAAGAAATGGTATTATAATTGTCACTGTATCACGTAAATACAAATCTAATATAAGAAATATATGTCTTTCCAAAAGTTGGTCAACTAAATATAGTGCAGAGTTTATGTTTATCCTATCATCATATAACTCGTGTATAAGCCTAATATAGTAACTTGGAAAATAAACAACAACTTGCTATAACTTAAATTACACATATGTATAACCTTAAACTCTATAGTTATCGGCCACATTCACGGCCTAAATGGACAAGGTTAAGCTGGTTCAATGGAGTACCCACACGAAAAGGATCTGATCTCTAACTGCTCAAGTTCGGTTGGCCTTGTGTTCCAGGATGAAGGGTCATTAATTTTGCTTGCTTTTACAGCATCCACAATGCTAAGAGTTTCGTAGGTAAGTCCTGCAGCTAATCAAAAATGATATACTTGAGAAGATGCTGATCTATCAGAAAATATATATTTACTTACACCTAGTGTAAATATACAATTTAACATTTAGTGTGACAAATAAGGTGAGAATGTATATCATTTAACCATGAGGAAATTATAATGTCAATTTGTGTATCCGTTGATTTGGTGTAAACAGCTAGTGCGGATACATTTTTCCTAATCTACCTCTAAGAGTTTGTTTGGTTGGGAAACACAACAAGTTATCCAATGATTAGTTATCCCGGGATGAGTTATCCTACCCTCGCATAAGAATAAAAAAATACTATAATCCCGGGGATAAACTCATTTCAAATTTAATCCTTGGATTAATTATCCTTTATCCCTCGTACCAAACGAGCCCTAAGTTATTGAAACAGGCTTAGTACACCCTGAAGTATAGTGTAAGAGGAAAGTTGTCCATTTTCAGGTAATTCTGGAGCAAATTGTTGAGGTAAAACCAGAAGTAATCAGATGTAGCAAAATGTATCAAGTTTGGAACCTTTTGAAGGCAGGTCAAGATCCTTGAACGTAATCCTTGGATGACTATGTTTGTGCAACATGTTTTCTTCTGCAGAATAATCATCCTCTTCTTGTTGTGAAGAAAATCTTTGACGCTTGATTCCAGCTTGTTTCGTACTTCTATTATCCTGCATTTGGTGCACTGCTCTTCCACACATCAACACAAGAATAATGGCAAACAAAAGAGAGACGGAATTATTCAGGGAAAAGATATCTTCTCAGGGTAGCAGAACAGACCAGGATCAATTTGTTTTTGGTGGGCATCTAAATGCAGAAGAACAAGTGCGGCATCAACTTCAGCCAAATAATTGGCTCTGACTATATATACCTGCACAATGTGGACATCAATGAACAAGAAACTTCGAAAACATACTGGAGTAGTAAATTGTTTTACACTGTCAATGTATAAAAGTTAAACTCAAAAACATATTAGAGAACAAAGGGTAGCCCGATGCACTAAACTCCCGCTATGCGCGAGGTCCGAGGAAGGGCGGACCACAAGGGTCTATTGTGCGCAGCCTTACCTTGCATTTCTGCAAGAGGCTGTTTCCACGGCTCGAACCCATGACCTCCTTGTCACATGACAACAACTTTACCAGCAACTTTATTAGAGAACAATCTACAGAAAAGTTATGTTTTAGCTCCAATTCAATAACTCTAATTCATCATTTACATAATTCTCAGTTGAAAGAAATATGTAGATCTCTCAATTCACTGAGCTCTATTCATTCACAAACCATCCAACCAAATGAATAGCAGCATGCACCATATTGCTAGAGAATTACAGAAGGAAGATTCTTAATTTGTTCTGACCTTCAATCTGCAGAATCTGAACAACTGAAAAACTAAAACATCTCCCTCCACTAAGTTATGTGCTAGTGAGAAACCCCGCCATCCGCCGCTAAGTCCATTCCTCTCAGCAAGATATTTTGTTTTGTACTCTTCTTGGCTTTCATCTACCAAAGTTACAGTTGTATCATGGCGTGGCAAATGTAACTGGCAGAAAAACCTTGGAAGAGACTGCGACAAGAAAAAATGAAGCAAATCAATCACTTAGCATATTCAAATAACAAAACACTAATTATACTATCAGGTTACTTAAGGCTAATTGCAGGTAATTTTTATAGCATAGTGTAAAATTTCTTTATAGTGTCGGTATATATGAGTTATACTCTATAAATTTATGAAATTCTTGAATTTGAGTATAGATTGGTGCTTACTAGCCAGAAACCTGCAGTAACATTTGATCTGATCATTGGCTTCATAAAGCTTGGATATTTAGTGCTCAATCTTGATTGAACCTCCTCTGCTCGATATTTGGCAGATGATGCCAAATCAAATCGACCATAAAGATTTTGCATCATTGCCATTTTCTTTTTACAGCTAAAACATCATATAAGCAGCTCAGTAAATTTAAAATCAAAGTTCAGGTTGAGGAGAGAAAGTATAAGAGGTTGAATAACGAACCTTCGACGTTTCTTGGACTTCTTACAAAAAACCTGAAAAGGAATTTACAGCGCTAAGATGTAGAAAGAGGAATACATGAAAACTGAAAGTATCACATGCATACACTTTCGGTGTTTCCATTTTAAAAATATTTCTCCCTGCCAAAGTATTCTTCGCTCTGGTCCAACCTTTAGCCTTCACGGCGTTTTTCCCTTTGAAGGGGAGCCTTGGCATAACAGGTAAAGTTGCTACCTTGTGACCAACAGGTCACGGATTCGAGCCATGGAAACAGCCTCTTATAGAAATGTAGGGTAAAACTGCGTACAATTAGACCCTTGTAAGGTTGTCCTTTTCCTTTTTTTAACTTAACACCCAAAAAGTTTCTCAAGTTGAATTTCTAAACTCGGCTATTATGATCCCTAACATTCCTCTTGGATTACGATCAAACTTTAGAGTGACCCCTTTCAAGTTCAACCATCAACAATCTGCAGGCTATTATACTTACACCTTTATGAACATAGTATCCTTGCTAAGGTTTGCCAAATCATCATATTAAGAAAAGTACCGGCTCTGGTACCACTTTCCATGGTCTAGGCCTAAAAGGTATTGTCCGCTCTGACTCAAACATTAGGTTCTTACAGTTTTGTCACACGCACCCGATCTTTATGGTCCCTAACTTTCCCCTCCTATTCAGATATTGAGATTTTCGTAACGTAAGCGTCATGGGAAACCTCTTCGATTCAACGTAACTGTCAATCCATAGGCTATTGCAATCCCCAAGGCAACCAAAAAAAACGATAAAGAAAAAGTAGAAAATACAGAATTAAATTTGCTCACTTGCTTATGCGTTCCTTGGAGTCCCAATGACATGTCCTTCATTACTTGAGGTCCTGTCTTCTTGATCTGACCATAAACAAATATGAATGTTAAATATAAATACATATGAAAATTAGACGTTTGTTCTCATTAAAATTAAGATCAAATATTCAGATTTGGGAGCTTTCATTTGAAAGGCTTGACAAGAGATATATTCTCTCCACAAATGAGAAAGAACTTTAAAGGTGTAAATTGAAATTGGTTGAGGTCAAAGAACAATCTTACACCGACATTCACCTCATCAAATTGCATTCACACAATTCCTTTTTTGGGCAACTTTCTTTTTCCTTTTTTCTTGTAGCTGACAGATTCAAACGAGGCAGTTGACGAAGAGATGGATCCGAACATGAATCTTACTGCTTCATTTCTTTTTGTATCTTTATTTTTAATTTGTAATTTAATTTGAATTCTTCATTGACATTTGTTATTTGCATGGATATTATGGAAAGAAATTGAATGATATCAACCGACTTTATAAATATATATGAGTCCAATTATCTTTTTTTCTAAAAAACCATTTTGTTCATAATATTAAAATGCGATATACAAAGATTTGAAATAATAAAAGAAATGTGTCATAAGCTAAAATTTCAAAGAAGTATATGCATCTATCCCTAAAACTTATTGTGACATTTTCTTTATAAGTGAGCGAATTATTTTACGTTAATTGATGAACTATATTCTTATAACGAGGATTGAAAGAGAGCTTATTAATTAGTACGTAGAATTATTGCTTTATTACTGCAATAATAAACTTTCGCAAAAGACCATTATATTATAACAGTAAAACTATAGGGATTGTTAAACAAATAGGGATTATTCTTCAAAACTATATCCAAATTAAACAAAAATGATACACTTCTCAACGAATGAGAATTACAATATCAGAGTTCAACAAAAAGATTGAAACTACTAGCGAACTAACTAATTGCTTCACGCATCACTAGATTTTTCTTTCTAATGAAATATCAAACCAAATGCAACGCGAGGTACACGTACAAAATCAAGTAAATATAACCTTTGTTTGATTATTATATTTAAACCGAGCCTGGAAACAAACACACACACGTTTTGTTCTCTTCCTCATATTTTGATGGTTTTAGTTAGTTTGCTAGATTAACATCTTCCTTTACTCTCGTGAACTCCCTGCTGGTTTACTTTTCTTTTTACTAATACAAGGAAGCAAATATTAGCTTTTTAAATATCAATTTCCAACAGCAACATTCTCAAGGTTCATAGCAAGCAGCTAGCAAGTAGTACGGTTTCGGATTAATAGTTTGCCCTCGCCGAAACCTTTTCGAGGGAATCAATTAAACACTTGATCTGCTTGAACAAGGAGAACTGGAGATGAGAGAATCAGTATGTGGCAGAAACATATACTTCTGATAACCAATACTTATTAAAAGGAATACCCTTGCAAAAGTTTCTATCGTTGTCAATACCTGTAACACTATTCTGCAGTCTAAACTAAACTACAATTCTCAGCTAAACCATCAGCTTGGTAAATCCTCCACCGCACTTCAAAATCCTTTATGTTGTCAGTGCATAGAGCTTAAACTGCTTTGTAGGCATATCGATACAAGGCAAAATCTGATCCTTCTTGAGCCTCCTTGATGCCTGATACTGTGAAGGATAAGAATTTTACACCAAATATGGGATTTCATCCTCTGTAACCATCACATCTTGACTCTGTGGTTACACATTTGCCTGCAACTCTGTCACTAGCAAAATTTTGAACTCCTAACTATACGAATATGGCTTCAAATTTTGCACATGGGTGGCTTTGAATGTAATTCTTAAACTCGGTATCCCCGTTGAATCTGAAGGAAAACAATGCTTGTCTCTGTGTCAAGCCAACGGGATATACTTTGTAAAGTTTGAGTTCATCACCACCGCGTAGTACTTGTGGTCTTTCCTCCTTCCAAACAGGAACATGTTTAACAGACTTGAACCTCGAGAGGATAGCAGATTCAAACGCCTTTAAAGACAAATTACTCGACCTGCACAGATACAGAAATTAGGGTGATTCAAAGTTTATATCAGAAAGATGAGGAAAACTATGACGAGAAAACATTAAACAAAAGAGAGGATGCTTTGCAATCTAACAGGAGGAGAATTCCAGGACAGAATTCAAAAGATATAATGGTGGTGCAGGAAGTCCACATAAAAAAATGGAAGAATTTTCGAAAATTCAAATGAAAAGGGTTCAATTTCCTTTTCCTTTAGTTTCCTTACTCCGAGAAATTCAGAGGCAACTACCCACTACAACTTTCAGGATCTTCCTGCTTCAGCCTACGAATCAATCAGAAATGATTATACACAGATTGATAGTGTCTCTATGGTGTTATCCAACCACAAATCTCTTTTCCTCTTTTCATGTTGAAACACTTTTCAACCCCTTAGACTATCGACTCTTGCCAAGATATCATGTATTTCACATGCATTCATTGCAAATGAGAGCTCCACTTTCAGCTTTACTTGTTGGAATCTGTAGGATAAAAAAGAAAAATTATTTGACCTCACAGTTGAACAGATGGTGGAGACTGGAAGCCCCAGCAGAAGGTGCAAACTCTCGGGTTCTACTTTTAGCTCTTCAACATGAAAATAATCACGCAGCTTGGTAAGAGGGAAAGAGAGATAAAAGTAGATGATAACTTTTCAAGTGTCTTGGACAAGAATACAACAGACATGTGGACAGAGAAAGAGTCTACCCCATCCCCAATGAATTAAAGGAAAAGCACAGAAGATTTCACGATATAGAAATCTAAAATATTATTTCCTCATTTAAAAATCTAAAATATTATTCTGTCTGGTAGAATTCTGGAGAACATATCTCAAAAATTGTCATCCACTTGGTGATTGAGTGCAAAACAACAGCAAACGAAGCTGAAAGGAATACAAATAATCTATATCTATATTATTATAAAATCACGAATAATTTATGCTAAATGTTAAACGACTAAAATATCCTCAAAATATTTTTTATAACCTTAAATATTTATAGAATTTAAGGATATAATTGTAAATCACCTGAGGCTGGATTTCTTTTCCTTTTAAACTACACATAGCCTACAAAGTTGATCCTACTTTGAGTCAAATTCCTTTTTGGGTCTCCATCGTTTTTATTGTATAGTTAGACTTATTTTCTTATTAATTTGGAAATTGTATTCTTCCACAAATATGTTTAACTGTTTTCCTTTTTGTAGTTTACAAATAGTTAATATGCTTACGGTATTCCATAAAATATAGACAGAGAGGACCCAAACTTCATATTCCATAAAATATGCTTATGGTATTTCATAATATGGTACGTATAGTAGCCTTTTTCTTTTTGGACAACAATATGATTCATTTTGTTATTCTTCTCCGGTTTGTATGGGATTCAGATTTATTACATGAATCCACGTAAAAAAAAAAAAAGAATAAGTCAGTTATTCTTATAAAAGATGTCATTGTTCCACATTATCCGTTATAAATTTTTTAGGGAGTATTGGCCATAAATTATGGTATTGCTGTAGACAGAAGCAAAGCTATCTGAAGGTATTGTTAGTTCACTTTATTGTTTTTTCTTTTTGCAATTGAGTAATGCTTTGATTTAGGGTCATCTATATGAATTCGAGCGAAATAACATGGTTTAGAAATTCTATGAAAAGTAAAAATAAAACAATGACATCTTAACTTTTATTGCAATTGTCTTATGACGTACTTTTTTATTTTTGTCATAATTTTTAGTTTTGGATATCAAAGTCTTATATATTGACGTAGTATGTAAGTTTAAATTCTATATATTAAGAGATAAATGATTTGTGCAATTTCAAATATTATGTTAGTGTAATAATATTGATTCTCAGCATTTAAAAGATTTCTCTCATATTTTTCATGTCAATCGTTTTACATTTGCTTTCATATACTCTTTTACTATTAAGGGTTTTGTCCGACTGAATTTCTATTCATCTATTGTTAGAACATATATTATCTTAATATAGGAACGTATGTATTAAGTCATTTTTTATAATATCTAATAAATTATCTTCCTTGTCAATACATTATTTGCTATATTGAGCATTCTGATACTTATAACTACTATATAGATTATTCAATCAAATAAGATATTATTTTGCAGTTGTTGTGTACTGAGCATTCTGTTAGCTTGTAGATAATAAATATATTAATCATCAATATTAGATAATATTTTGTAGCTTTTTCTTATCTATTGCAGGTATTTTGCGAAGGGTAATGGATATTGTGTCCCTATAAATAACTTAAACCTTAAGATGTTTAATGGGTAATTAAGGTATTGGATATTCGAACATGATCAATAATAAAATATAAGAACGGCAAAGGAGCGGGTTTCGTTGGCATTTAATATTTATTGACGAAGAGGTAAGCTTCTTTTGTACATTTATTCTGATATAATTTATTACTTATTTGTATTATTTTTAATTTCTTAAATTATGGTTATATTAATTTATAGGGGGGACAAAGATCCATTCAGTACTTTTCAATAAAATTGTTGAAGATGGAAAAGATTCATTTCAACAAAATAAAAGGTATTGAATTCTAAATAGTTCTTTACCTATTTATCTGTGCACAAGGAGTTAGAAATATCTTTTGGAAATTATAGTACAGTTAGGGAATGCACCAGCCACTTTTCAACCACAAAATTTTCAAATAATTTTCTAACTTTAAAGAGACAAAAAATTCACTACTTCATTAGAATATTATTTAGTAATTTCTTTCTTGATATCTTTTGATAATACATGGATACTTTCAGTTTAATGTATGTAAAGTATTTCACTTCCTTTAATAGTTAATCTTACGTGTGTTTTCTCTTAATACTTTTTACAGACGTGATTTGCATAACATAACTATATTAATAATTTTGCAGGTTCGGATAATGATGTCCAATCAGTTTGAATTCACGTATTATATATATATATATATATATATATAATAATTGTTGTATTATTTATATTTCTCTTAATAATTAAATTTGGTATTTCTTCGTATAAATAATTGACTAAACCAACAGGTGTCATTGTTAACGTGCAACGTACGTTCATAGAAACTAGTAATATAAAAGCAGTTGAACTGATAGGAAATAGTAGATAGATATCTGCCTCGAACATATTCAGAAAATATGCTTTGATATTCTTTTTAACGAGTCAGAGAAAATTTGCTTAGACATTCATGGTCAGAATTCAGTAACTGGAGAATGAAAATACCTTAAGAAAATGGAATCCATCTCAAACCTCCCTCTTTCACGTACATATACATGATAGACAGTTTCAGCCCCTCTAGTACATTTGCAGGGACGCTTCATAAATTTTGGACTCTGCTCTTCTCTTTCCCGGATCCTACTTGCCAAGAAGATGCACAAACGACAAGATGA